ACACTGGCCACTGAAAAGATACATACGTCCTGAGATTAGCCTTAAAGTCCACTCCTAAGCATCACAACCAGGTTCAGGTGTGTTTTCCTTGTTCTTTACTGTCAGGGGACAAACAACAGGGTACCTGTAGAAAACACAGGTATTTTGTGGATGCTCTGGGTAGAAATGAGATGATAAAAAATAGTTAACAATAAAATACATTCTTAGCACAATGAAAAGCTTTGGAATCATCATGCATTTAAATGCAATAAAAGATCAAATTTTACTCATGTGCTGATTATAAAATTGCTTTGTTTCTTAGATGTTGCTGAAATTTGTCAACATAGATTGGCCAACGTTGAAGATGAAGATGTCAGCACACCAGTTAGTCTCAAGTTTTCCATATGTGACTATACAAATAATCTTAAACATGAGTAAGAATATGAACAAATCTGAAAAACACTGGTTAGCAAATGCCTATTAAAAAAAATTGTCTAAAGCCTGAGTCAAGTAAGCAGAATAAACCGTGCATGTATATATCTGAAAATCTGTGCTGCAGAAGCAGATACTACAGAGCAACTATGAAAAGGTAGCATGATAGATGTCTCTTGATTTTCTCAGCTTCTAATTTTTTCAGTTTTTTGCATGCTTACTACTGCAGCAGATACTACCTAGTTTTCTACCCATTCAAGGCCTCTCAGGTACTCATGAGAGCCAAAGAATAATATAGTAGGTTTTGACAAGAAATACTGAGAAGATAGATAGTACTTCTAGTTGTTTCGGAAATGATGTTCAGAAGAAAAGAAACAGATACAGAAACAGATACAGAAACAGTTATTTTTACCATATATTGCTTTTAAATTGATCATGCCTTTACAAAGTCACAAGAAAAACCCAGAAGGTACCCAGGTTCAGGTTATGAACCTGAAGAAATCCTACAGATAGAGGAGACTACGTTACTAAAGAAACTAAAGGATAGCCACAGGAAAATAGTTCAATTCCAAATTCTGGATTACAGAAAACAGATGATGACACAAAAAATATTTAGAGTATCTATACCTTACTTTATAGAAAGAATAGTCATTATAAAGCTTAATGGGCATACACAGAATAAAATTCAAATGGAGAGATGTGTAACAGAATTCTTTTGATTTAAGAAATAAGGCAATAAGTAAGATTGAAACCTTGGACTTCAGGAGAGCCAACTCTGACTTCTTCAAGGACCCACTTGGAAGTATCTCATGGGTTAGAGCATTGGAAGCGGACTCAAGAGATTTGGTTGACATCCAACACCACTTCCTCCAAATTCAAAACTGGTGCATCCCTAAGTGAATCAAGTGAAGGTGGCAAAAGACCTGCATCAATGAGTAAAGAAGCTCATGGGAAAACTCAAATGGAAGAAGAAAGTCTACTGAATGTGATAAAAGGGTCTGGCTACATGAGAGGAATATATGACCACTAGCAGAGCATGCAGGAATACACAGTGACACAAGGAAGGCTAAGGCCTTCCCACTTGGAATTAAATCTGATGAGGGACGTTGAGGAAAACAAGAAAGACTTCTTTAAGTATGTCAGTAGCAAAAGGAAGGCTAGGGAAAATGTACGTCCACTGCTGAATGAGGTGAGTGCCCTGGTAGTGGAGGACACTGGGAAGTCAGAATTACTGAATGCCTTCTTTGATTCAGTCTTCAGTGCTAGCGCTGCCCCTCAGCAATTCTAGATCCTGCAGGTAAGAGAGAGAAGAATAAAAGAAGACTTGATAAGATCTCCCCGTTTCTTCATAAAGAATATGCTCCAGGCCCCTAGTAATCTCAGTAGCACTGTGCTGGAAACTCCCTAGAAGTTCCCAGAACTGAGCAGGATACTCCAAGCCTCACCAATACTCCAACGCTCATCTGACCTCACCAGGACAGAAAGGAGGGGCAGGACCATATTCCTCGATGAGAAAAAAAGACTTCCCACCAGTTGAGGAGGATCTGTCAGAGACCATCTAGATAAACTTGCTGCACAAATCCATGGGCCTCAATGAGATGCACACAAGTGCTGAAGTGACCACTCATTATCATCTTTGAAGGGTCATGCAGAGTGGGAGAAGTGTCTGAGACCTGAAGGGAAGCCAATGTCACTACAGTCCTGAAAAAGAGCAAGAAGGAGAGGACAGGAAAGTACAGCCTTATCAGCTTCGCCTCCACCTCTGGGAAGATGATGTAACAGCTTATTTTGGATGTCATCATCAAGCAAATGGAAGAGAAGAAGGTTATCGGGAGTAGCCAACATGGATTCACCAAAGGGAAATCATTGTTGATCAACCTGGTAGCCTACTATGATGCCATGACAAGCTGGATAGATGAGGAAAGAGCAGTGGATGTTGGCTACCTTGCTTTAGCAAGGCCTTTGACACTTCACCCGTAACTTCCTCATAGGAAAGTTTAAGAAGTGTGGGATAGACAAGTGAACAGTGATTGTGGATTCTGGATTGAGAACAGTGGATTGAGAACTGGCTGACTGGAAGAGCTTGGAGGGTTGTGATTAGCGGGCATAGTCTAGTTGAAGGCTGTAGCTAGCAATTCCCCAGGAGTCAGTACTGAAACATCATCAGTGGCCTGGATGAACGGAAAGAGCGCACGCTCAGCAAGTTTGCAGATGATACAAAGCTGGGAGAAGTGTCTGAGGCACCAGAAGGATGTGCTGCCTTTCAGTGAAGTTTGGATAGACTGGAAAGTTGGGCAGAGAGGAACCTTGTAAGATTCAACACGGGTAAGTGCAGAGCTGTGCACCTGTGGAGGAATAAGCACGTGTCAGTACTGGTTAGGGATGACCTGCTGGAACAGAGCTCTGTGGCAAAGGACATAGGTGTTCTGGTGGACAACAGGTTGGCCCTGAGCCAGCAGTCTGCCCTTGTGGTCAAGAAGGCCAATGGTATTCTATAATGCATAAAAATGAGCGTGCCTAGCTGGTCGAGAAATATGGTCCTTCCCCTCCTCTGTCCTGGTGAGGTCAGACGAGCGTTGGAGTATTGGTGAGACCTGGAGTATTCTGCTCAGTTCTGGGAACTCCTAGGGAGTTTCCAGCACAGTGCTATTGAGATTACTAGGGGCCTGGAGCATCTTCTTTATGAAGAAATGGGGAGATCTTATCAATGCTTATGAATATCTAAAAGGCAGAAGTCAGGTGGATGGGACTATGCTCATTTCTGCAGTGTGCAGCAACAGAATAAGGGGCAATGGAAACAAACTGGAACACAGACGTTCCATACAAGCAAGAGAAAAAATTCTATACTTTGAGGATGACAGAGCACTGCATTAACTTGCCCAGAGAGGTCGGGGAGTCTCCTCAGGAGATAGTAAAAATCTACCTGGACACTTTCCTGTTCACATGCAAAAAACAGTAAGTCAGACATTAAAATGAGAGAGAACAGGAGAGGTCAAGGATGCTGAGTCTAAAACATGTTCACTTCACTCTGAGAGCTGAGAGAAAAAGGTAAAAAACAGAAAATCAGCAAATTGAACATTGTGACATGAAACTTCACATGTAATGTAGAAGAAGAGATCAACTTATAAGGAAAACACAATGAACTCAAGTCACTTGATTTTTATCCCTTAATAGGCCTGTCATTACAGGTCTCAGCAGTCATGCTAAAAACTGACTGCCTTATTTGCTTCCTTTGCAGCTCAATTCCCCTAAGAGTTTTACACTATAACCTATACACACTCTAAACCCCAATGCAAGTTAAAAATTTTGATAATTGACAAGAAGGATGCTGACAGTGTTTGAACTGTGTTAACAACAAATTTACAGTGATTGTTGCACTAAAATGCAATGATAGCTCTGCAAGCATTTCTTAAAACCTATGAAGCCACAAGACACTAAGTGGGATATAAGTGACTCAAGATTGAGGTCACAATCTTGGCTATTAACACCTGGGATATCCACTCTTGATTTCTCTTTCCTCTTTGCCAGTTATTCTTTAAAAACTCTCCTTCCTTCACCAGCATTGTGCTTACACATTTAGTGTTTGCATCAAGTCACCTCAGTAAGTTGCCAGCAAAATCTTCATCCCAACAAGGAAATTGTATAGATTTTGATCAAGTAAGCAATGCGGTAAGAATCATGAGAAGAACCACCACCTAAAAAAGTTGTTGGAGATCTCAAATAATGATTATTATCTGAAAAATAAAAAATAAAAAACCCAAAACAAAGCAGAATGGGCTTGAGTGTGTAGAACTCCCTACTGTCAGAATAGTACCCGCTAACAACTCAGTATTTGCTGACTTGCTTTTTTGCTTGCAAAGAGTGCAGTGGTTCCTTTTGTTTCGCCTTAACAAGGCAGTTTTGTGGCACCGCTGAAAATTTTCTTAAAGAGGCAGGTAAGCTTCTGTTTTAAGACAGTAAGTACGCGAGAAGTTCTGAAATAAGTAGCCACAAATAAATTTCCCAGTCATGTTACAAATAGGCATTTGATGAAGGATTACTGTCTGGAACTAAACCTCTGAAAAACACTGCCCAGAAATGGAATATCTGAGCTTCCAATTCCATGACCTCCAGAGTCTCTTCAGATACGAGAAGTCACCAGGAAACAGCTGCGATGTAGAGAATACATTTAGAACAGCGAGATGAAGGTGTTATTTTGTTTATTGATACACCAACACTCAGGGCTTTTAACTAGACGTCAGAAGAAGGGCAGGTGGCAGCGACCCATCCAGCTGTCACTGCAAGAAGCCTGCAGAACCTCTCGCCCTCGGGCCGGCCAGCTCAGCCGCCTCACACGCAGGCGGTCTCCCCGCTGTCCCCCGGCCGCACCGGGCCACGGCGAGGTCAGGGCCCGGAGCGCCGCGCAGCCGCTCCTGGCGCTCCCGCCCGCAGTACGGGGGCGCTGCCCGCGCCGAGCGGGCCGGCCCAGGAGAGCGGGGCCTGGGGGCGCCGCCGTGCGTAGCGCTGCGAGCGCCTCCTCGGAGCTCCCTCGGCGCCCGGCTACTCACCATCTCCTGCCTCAGGAGGCGAAGTT